GCAAATATCCTCTGTCTGTGTCTCACACTCCACTTCTATTGCAGTCTCATCTTCCTAATTCTCAGGATCTTCATTTGTATCCCTTTCCTGCTCTGAGTCCTCGCTCTGAAAATAAAGCCCGTGTCCTCTGTCTCTCCCTCTCTGGTGCTTTCAACTTGCTCCTCTTCAAATCTCTCACCACTATCATCATCTGACTCTCTCTCTGTGTCTGGATTAATGTGTTTCTTTTTCATATAGAAATATAATGTAATGTCAGTTTTTAGCCAACACCGCTCGCACCGGGTCTGGTAGTTGGCGCAGGAAAATGCGCGGGAAAAGAAATCCCGGATTTCTTTTCACATAACCTTGCTCCCTACTACAGGCCTGCAGGGTGAGAAGCATGGTCCTAGTGTCCGACCAAACTATAACCGTTTTTAACAATGAAGAATGACGTTATAACAGCTTGAATTGGAATCAAATGAACACAAAGAAAAATGTATTTTCCCATCTTTCATATTTATTGTTTCACCGTCGTCCTGCATTCATGCGTCACAAATTCGCTTGTCTCTCGTCTAAACACAAGGCAATTGGCTAGCTGTTGCTTCTCCCTAGCGGTATGGGAGGGTACTACACGATTACTTTCTGGGCGATAGGCACACAGGCATACAAACTGGATATTTTCCCGCGGCACACCTGACAATGTCTTGCGGCACACTGGTGTGCCGCGGCACAGGGGTTGAAAAACCCTGAAATAGAGGATGAATGGTAACATTACAATCACAAGACCAAAGATAATTATTGTTGCCCCTGGAAAGCAACTTTTATTTCTTTTTTTTTTAATTCTGGCGGTGGCAACATTTTCAAAGTTAAAAGTCTTGTTTTATTTTGGAGAAAGAAACCCAATGTTTTTGACCATCATCTACCTTTAAAGTTGCACAAAATAGACGAGATCATGTTTTTTTCTCATTGCACCGCAGTGGGTCAGAGCTTGGACTTCCCGCTTTTCACTTGTAAATTCCTAGGGGAAAGGCGGCCCAGTGGTTAGCGTGTCGACCTCACAGTGCGGAGGTCGTGGGTTCGATCCCAGCTCCGGCCTTCCTGTGTGGAGTTTGCATGTTTTCCCCGTGCTTGCGTGCTTTGCTCCGGGTCCTCCGGTTTCCTCCCACATTCCAAAAACATGCGTGGCAGGCTGATGGCACACTCCAAATTGTCCCTCGGTGTGAGTGTGAGTATGAATGTTTCTTTGTTTCTGTGTGACCTGCGATTGGCTGGCAACCAGCACAGGGTGTCCCAACTGATGGGCCCGAAGACGGCTGGGATAGGCTCCAGCACCCCCGTGACCCTTGTGACCCTTGTGAGGATAAAGCGGATCGGAAAATGAATGAATGAATTCACAGGGGAAGACCGGTAACTCCCTCATTATTACCTGGAATACCTGACAAACACACACACACACACACACACACACACACTCTCTCTTTCTCTCATCTACACGTGCACAGACACACGGAAATCAAGCCTCTGTGTTGTTTGCTTACAACAACAGCGTTGCTAGGGCTGACTCAGACAGGGAACACTTGAATTATATCAATTCAACTCAACTGAATTGTGAAAGTATTTGCAGAGCACTTAAAAATAACCACCGCTGTATACAAAGTGCGAAAATAATTCAGACAACAACAAACAATAAATTAATAACCAAGACAGTAGAATGGACAAAAACAGTAAAACTACAAATCAAGTCAA